TTGGAGGCCCCTGTGCCTCAGCTCACCTGTGCGACAAGGGTGACATCAGTAAACTCACCTGTTCACACACCCGTTTCTCCTGGACTGTGGGCTCCCTGCAGGCAGAGGCTGCCTTTTGTCTCAGTCACCGTAGGGCACAGCGCAGAGGAGAGAGGAGTGAATGCCGGGAATCGGTGAAAGAAGATGAATGTGTTTATGGGGGGGGGGGTGCCTTCCTCCTCAGGTGTACCTGGCCCTGGGCCTGACCCCGTCAGAGATCGACGAGTACTTCGCCGGTCCCGCCTTCCTGGCCTGGGAGCGCATGGGCAACCTGCACACCTGGGGCGGCCCCCTGCCCCGCTCCTGGCACCTCAAGCAGCTTTACCTGCAGGTGAAATACAGGGGAAGGAGGGGAGGGGTAGCGTTGGTCCTGGGCAGTCACAGGCTAGGGGGGGTGCTATTTGGCCAGCCTCCAGGCTCCTGATTAGATCCTGGGGACTTTGTGTGTCCTGGGGAGCGAGGGCCTCCCATCTCGGGCCATGCTCGCCAGCTCCCCTCTGCCCCCCATTCTTCCCAGCACCGGATCCTGGACCGGATGCGCTCCTTCGGCATGACTCCCGTGCTGCCGGCATTCACAGGGCACGTCCCCAAGGCTCTCACCAGGTGAGGCTCCCTGCCCTCACCTCCTCTCAGCTCAGAGATGGGATTTATTTTCCCCTGCAAGGCACCATGGAAAGAGCTGTCTGCTTGATTCCTGGCTCTGCTGCCCACTAGCCATGTGGCTTCAGGCAGGTGACGTGGCTGCTGCGTGCCTCAGTTGCCTCACGTATAAAATACACATGGCCTGGCACCGAGACTTAGCAAAAGGCAGCTCTTGTGCGTGGTAGCAGGGGTGCACTGGTCTCTGTCCTCCCTGCTCCTCTGTGGTGCCCACCCATCCTCTCCTGTGGCTGGGAAAATCCTTCCAGGCCAGCTGGGACCTCCCCTCCTTCAGGAGGCCTTGCTGGGGCTCCCAGCACCGGTCACCACCTCCTTCAGGCCTGTGAGCCCCTGGTGTCCACTCTCACAGTGCTTCATGCACGCTGATGGCCCCGCCAGCCACCGGATGGCAGGAGCCTCGTGCATACATTCAGGGAGCGGTTGTCGGGGGTTCTGGGATCGCCAGACCAGGCTCTGTGCTGGGCCCCGGGGAGGCAGCGATAACAGTGCACCGAGTTCCTAGCTCCCGTCCCTGGTGGGAGATAGGCTGGCAGGAGGTTATAACACAGCGATAGGGCCCACTTCTCTGTCAAGGTCACCTCTGCCTGGGTAGGAGGAGCTGCAGGACTCAGAGAGAGGCAGTACGGGGCCAGACCTTGAAAAACGAGTGTTGTTTGTTTCGATCAGTGGGAGGGAAGATAGCGAGAGTTTTAGGTGAAACGCAAAAGGAGTCCAGGAGTAACCAGCTGCAGGAACAGGGAGAGAGGAGGAAAGGACGCCAGGCCTGGAGCACAGCATGTGCAAAGGCACGGGGGCAGGAGAGACCAGGTTGAGGCCCAGGAGTCGCAGATAAGTTAATGAACCTGGCAATGACTGTGCCGGCCTCCACTCAATGTCCGGACTGTCCCCCCCCCCAACTAGGGTGTTCCCTCAGGTCAACGTCACCCAGATGGGCAGCTGGGGACACTTTAACTGCTCCTACTCCTGCTCCTTCCTCCTGGCTCCCGAGGACCCCCTGTTCCCCGTGGTGGGGAGCCTCTTCCTGCGGGAGCTGACCCGAGAGTTTGGCACAGACCACATCTACGGGGCCGACACGTTCAATGAGATGCAGCCCCCGTCCTCGGAGCCCTCCTACCTCGCTGCAGCCACTGCCGCCGTCTACCAGGCCATGGTCGCAGGTTGGTGCCGGGGGAGACGGGGAGGGGGAGGAGGGACTGGGCATAGTAACCCCTGACTGACATGGCACTCTTCAGTGGGCGCGCATGTACACACACATCATCTCCTTCACCACAGCGGTGAGAGGTGAGCTCGGAGGCAGGCAGCCTGCTCTAACTGCATTCCGCTTCCTGCCCACCTGACGGCAATAAGTTACCTCCCTCCCAGGGCCCCCGTTTCTTCATCTATAAAATGGGGCCCCCTGTAAGTAGGATGACGCCTGGCCCAGAGTAACGTGTCATCAAGTGCTGGGTATTAAAGACAGGGATGGGCCAAAGCCGGTTTGGCTCAGCGGTTAGAGCATCGGTCTGCGGACTGAAGGGTCCCAGGTTTGGTTCCGGTCAAGGGCATGTACCTTGGTTGCGGGCACATCCCCGGTGGGGGGTATGCAGGAGGCAGCTGGTCGATGTTTCTCTCTCATCGACGTTTCTAGCTCTCTATCTCTCTCCTTTCCTCTCTGTAAGAAAAAACAATAAAATATATTTAAAAAAAAAAAAAAAAAAAGATAGGGATGGGCAAAAGTAGGTCTACAGATGTGAGTATTGAAACACAGTTTGTTCTTGTATTTATTTATGTATTTATGTATTTGTTTATTATTTGTTACGACTATAAACCTACGTTTGCCCACCCCGTATTTTATTTGGTCTCTGCCTCCACGCTGAGGTACGTAATGCAGGCCAGAGGTTAGGGAATGTGCCAGATGTGAACCTAGTGCTCCTTCCCGCCCCTCACGGGGAGGGTGGAGAGGAGCCAGGGCAGGAGTGGGGGCGGGAGGCCTCTGTCCGCAGGAAAGGAGGGGAGCGGCTCAGGGTTTCAAGTCTCCTTCAGCCCAGAGTCTGTTGGGTCTGCAGATCCAGCCTCCTCCCTCCCCTCCCCCACCGGAGTCAGAGTGAGCAGGGCTGGAGCCTATGAGAGTGTGTGTGTGTGTGTGTGTGTGTGTGAGCCAGCCTCCGGGGAATTCCGATGGGGGAGGAGGAGATGGAAGGGGTGTGTGTGATGAAGTAGCCCTGCTGGCTGGGGGGTTCAGAGAAGGAAGTGTCCTGTGACAGTCAGCTGACCTCTCTGGGCTGGGGATGAATGTTCCTCTGAACCCCCCTTCTCATCGCCTCTCTTCTCTGCCTCCCCCCCCCCCCCCCCGCAGTGGACCCTGACGCCGTGTGGCTCCTCCAAGGCTGGCTCTTCCAGCACCAGCCCGAGTTCTGGGGCCCGGCCCAGGTGGAGGCCGTGCTGCGGGCCGTGCCCCGTGGCCGCCTCCTGGTCCTGGACCTGTTTGCCGAGAGCCAGCCCGTGTACGTGCGCACGGGCTCCTTCCGGGGCCAGCCCTTCATCTGGTGCATGCTGCACAACTTCGGGGGCAACCACGGCCTGTTCGGGGCCCTGGAGGCCGTGAACCGGGGCCCCGCAGCCGCCCGCCTCTTCCCCAACTCCACCATGGTGGGCACGGGCATGGCCCCGGAAGGCATCGGCCAGAACGAGGTGGTCTACGCCCTCATGGCCGAGCTGGGCTGGCGCAAGGGCCCAGTGGCAGACCTGGGGGCCTGGGTGGCCGGCTTCGCCGCCCGGCGGTACGGGGCCTCCCATGAGGGCTCGGAGGCAGCATGGAGGCTGCTCCTCAGGAGCGTCTACAACTGCTCCGGCGAGGCCTGCAGCGGCCACAACCGCAGCCCCCTGGTCAGGCGGCCGTCCCTCCAGATGGCAACCGCCGTCTGGTACAACCGGTCGGATGTGTTTGAGGCCTGGCGGCTGCTGCTGACAGCCGCCCCCGCTCTGGCCACCAGCCCGTCCTTCCGCTACGACCTGGCCGACCTCACTCGCCAGGCGGTCCAGGAGCTGGTCAGCTTGTACTACGAGGAGGTGAGGGGTGCCTACCTGAACAAGGAGCTGGTCCCCCTGCTGAGGGCGGCGGGCGTCCTGGCCTACGAGCTCCTGCCCTCCCTGGACAGCATCCTGGCCAGCGACAGCCACTTCCTGCTGGGCAGCTGGCTGGGGCAGGCCCGGGCCGCCGCCGTCAGCGAGGCCGAGGCCCGTTTCTACGAACAGAACAGCCGCTACCAGCTCACCCTTTGGGGGCCCGAGGGCAACATCCTGGACTACGCCAACAAGCAGCTGGCGGGACTGGTGGCCGACTACTACACCCCCCGCTGGCGACTCTTCCTGGAGACGCTGGTGGACAGCCTGGTGCAAGGCACCCCCTTCCAGCAGCACCAGTTTGAGAAGCTCGCCCTCCAGCTGGAGCAGACCTTTGCCCTCAGCACACGGCGGTACCCCAGCCAGCCCCAGGGCGACACGGTGGACCTGGCCAAGAAGCTCTTCCTCAAATATTACCCTCGCTGGGCGGCCGGCTCCTTGTGACAGACGAACCACCCCTGGGCTGTTCTCCCCAAACTCCAAGACGGGCAGGTTCCTGGGGCCTGGAGCTGGGCAAGGTCACCAGAGGTCCCCCCTCCCACCCCACCTCAGGCGGAGGGACTCAAGACCTGCCAGTCGGATCGAGATTAGGAGGTTCGGAGGGGAGTGAGCTGCCCTCCCCCGCCACCCCAAATTTGGGACCAAAGCACTGTTTTCATTACAACTTAATAAACGGGTGAATCCCCTGGGCCTGTCTGTCTGAATGTCACTGCTCCCTGCCTGGGAGGACTCGGAGTTACAGCATGGACACCGGTGGGAGGCCCGCTCTCCCTGTCCCCTTGCTTTTGTCTCCCCGTTTTTAATACTAACCCCTGACCTTTGAGCTAAGAATGCCTTCCCAAAGCATTTGCCCTCCTACCCTCAGCAGCAAACTTTGGAAACTGTTAATTGTCCCCGGGTGACAGAGGCATTCCCCGGGGAGAGACCCGCACGGGGTGCCCACAGGGAGCCCACACCTGCTTCGCCCGACCTCTGGCCAGCAACCGAGGCAGGTCCTTCCCAGCAGGGGCCTCGTCTCCGCCCTGACCCAGCGCAGAGTGGGCAGAGCAGGCCAGGGACCTCTGGAGGGTTCGGCCTTGAGGTGGTGCTGGAGACACAACAAGGGGCGAGGCCCTCCGGGGGCAGGGGCAGGGGCAGGGGCGGAGCGAAGCAGGTGCTACTAGTCCCCGAGCCCAGAGCCTCCCCCACACGCCCTCCCCATGGACCGCACGGTGGTGCTCATCACCGGCTGCTCCTCGGGCATCGGCCTGCACCTGGCCCTGCGACTGGCGGCAGACCCTTCCCGGAGCTTCAAAGGTACACGAGGGGATGGGGATGGGAGCAGCCCCGGTCCCCGGGCGCCTCGGTGAGTAAAGCAGGACATTCAGGTCCTCGTCCGGTCCCCAACCTCCAGTGTACGCCACTTTGCGGGACCTGAGCACGCAGGGCCCGCTGTGGGAGGCAGCCGGGTCCCAAGGGTGCCCGCCCGGCTCCCTGAAGACATTGCAGCTGGACGTGCAGGACGCGGACTCCGTGGCTGCTGCCAGGGCACGTGTGACGGAGGGCCGCGTGGATGTGCTGGGTGAGCTTCCCTTCCCCGCGTCCAAACCAAGGGGTCCCGGGGCTCGGGGGCAGCGGGACCGGCTGGGCCGGAGGGCAGCGCAGGAGGCGCAGGCGTCCACCGCGCGCCTCTCCCCACAGTGTGCAACGCGGGCCGGGGCCTGCACGGGCCGATCGAGGTGCTCCCGGCGGAGGCCGTGGGCTCCGTGCTGGACGTGAACGTGGTGGGGCTGGTGCAGATGCTTCAGGCCTTCCTGCCGGACATGAAGCGCCGCCGCTCCGGACGCATACTGGTGACGGGGAGCATGGGAGGCCTGATGGGTGAGCGGGGCGCGCGGAGGGAGCTGGGCCGGGCTTCCCCTGGGCGAGCTCCCATCGGAGTCTCAACACCTCCCTCGTCCCCCTCAAAGGGCTGCCCTTCAACGCCGTCTACTGTGCCAGCAAGTTCGCCATCGAAGGTCTGTGCGAGAGTCTGGCCGTGCTGCTGCCGCCCTTCGGGATCCAGTGAGTCACCGCCCGCCCTCTGAGCCTGGCTTTGGGAACCCCCATACCCTGCTAGGTGGAGCCACACTAGGCATTCTCCCTGCCCGTGTCCGCTGTGTGCCAGGCAGGGCACTGGGCGTGCGTGCCGCCCACCGGGTGAGGTGCCCGTCATTATTGGGAAGCGCGGGCCCAGAGAGATTAGCTGACTGCCCCAAGGCCGCACAGTATGCGGCCCAGCCAGGATGGAATTCTGAGGCCGGAGTCGCCCAGCCCCTCCAGAGGAAATGGGAGCGCTTTTCAGACAGTGAGCCCCTTCAAGCACTCCGGGTAGCGCTATGTGCCCGCAGACCCTCGCCTACCCTCCCTCCTGGCGGAGCGGAGCGTGTGGGGAGAGGGGGTTGCGGGCCGGTTGGGCCCCGATCTCACTGGCTCCCAACCCACTCGCCGCTCTCGCTCGCCAGCGTGAGCCTCATCGAGTGCGGCCCGGTGCGCACCGCCTTCCAGGCCAAAGTGCAGGACGGCCTGGCCGCGGTGCTGGACGGCGCGGATGCCCAGACCCGAGACCTGTTCTCCCGGTACCAGCGCCACTTCGAGCAGGTCTTCCGCGAGGCGGCGCAGGACCCCGAGGAGGTGACGGAGGTGGGTGAGGCAGGGCCCCGGGGAGGAGGGGGTGCGGCAGGGCCCCGGGAGGAGGGGGTGCGGCAGGGCCCCGGGAGGAGGGGGTGCGGCAGGGCCCCGGGAGCAGCGGGGCGGCACCGAGTCCTCGCCCCAGCCCAGCAGCCTGCTCCCCGCACCCGCAGGTCTTCCTCACCGCCCTGCGCGCCCCGCAGCCCGCGCTGCGCTACTTCGCCTCGGAGCGCATCCTGCCCCTGGTGCGGCTGCGCCTGGCCGACCCCGGCGGCTGCAGCTACGTGGCCGCCATGCACCGCGCCGTGTTCGGGGACCAGCCCGCCCAGGGCCCTGAAGGCGCTCCGGCGAAGCCTGGAGCGGGACAGCTAGGGGGCCCCGAGTCGGGCGCGCCTCCAGCCGCCCCGAAATAAAGGCCTGGTCCCCGCGGTCTCCCGCTCCCTCCTTCGCGAACCAGGGGTGTGGGGCTCTGGGGAGCGGGCGGGACTGCACTGCAGCAGCTGGTGCTGCAGGCGGGCGTGGGCGGATTGTTAGCCCAGTTCCCCGACCCCGAAACCTCCCTGATGGGGACAGAGCTGGCCAGGGCCACGCCTCACGTCCCCTGCCCCTGTCTGCGGCGGCAGGAGGGAGGCAGGCTTGGATGGGCGAGAGCAGGGTTGTGACTTGGTGGCCACCAGTCAGGGGACCTCAGCAAGTTTTTACCTAATCTGAGCGTTTCCTTATCTGTGAAATGGGTGTGATTCCCATGTCATGGGTCATAGTGAGAATTCACTGAGACAATGCCTGAAAGTGCTGGAAGAGAGGGCTCCACAGCAGGTCTTGGTCTTGTATTTCCACTTGGAAAGCAGACGTGTAAGAAACAAGGCCAAATGAACTAAAAGGAGACAGCCCCCACTCACCCCCCTGCCCCTGTCCTGGACAAATCTCAGCAGGAGAGGGCCCTCCGCCCAGGCGCTGCCTCTCACCAGGAGGTTTAGCTGAGGCTCCAGGCCTGGCCGTTCTGTCCAGTGTCTGTCCTCCCTGAAGCCAGCGGAGCAGCTAGAGGGCAGG